TCATACTGAGACTGACAGAATGTCTCCCCTAAGTAAACTCCCAATTGATGATGGAACTGTACAAATTAAGCAAATTGATCTTGATAAATCCACAAAGGAGCAACCCTCTACTGAGCATTCACCACAGAAAGGAACTATAAATGTTGAAACGGACAAAATGTCTCAAGTAAAAGATGTTCCACCACAAAAGAAACATGAAGACATTGCAATGAACGTAATGACTCCGGAAAAAGATGTTTCACCAAAGGAAAATGCTAAATATAATGCAACGGATAAAGAGGCTCTTGCAATAAGTGTGCTAATCCCAGTTGATACTAAAAACCTTGATCAAATCGTTAAAAAAAATTCACTAAAAAGAGAACCTGATCATACTGAGACTGACCAAATGTCGCCCCTAAGTGAACTTCCAATTGACGATCGAACTGCACAAATTGAACAAATTGAACTTGAAAAATCCACAAAGGAGCAACCTTCTACTGAGCATTCACCACAGAAAGGAACTATAAGGGTTGAAACGGACAAAATGTCTCCAGTAAAAGACGTTCCACCACAAAAGAAACATGAAGACATTGCAATGAACGAAATGACTCCGGAAAAAGATGTTTCACTAAAGAAAAATGCTAAATATAATGCAACGGATAAAGAGGCTCTTGCAATAAGTGTGCTAATCCCAGTTGATACTGAAAACCTTGATCAAATCGTTAGAAAAGTTTCACTAAAAAGAGAACCCGATCATACTGAGACTGACCAAATGTCGCCCCTAAGTGAACTTCCAATTGACGATCAAACTGCACAAATTGAACAAATTGAACTTGATAAATCCACAAAGGAGCAACCCTTTTCTGAGCATTCACCACAGAAAGGAACTATAAATGTTGAAACCGACAAAATGTCTACAGTAAAAGATGTTCCACCACATAAGAAACATGAAAACATTGCAATGGGCAAAATGACTCCGGAAAAAGATGTTTCACCACAGGAAAATGCTAAATATGATGCAACGGATGAAGAGGCTCTTGCAATAAGTGTGCTAATCCCAGTTGATACTAAAGAACTTCTTCAAAACGTTAGAAAAGATTCACTAAAAAGAGAACCTGATGATACTGAAACTGACCAAACGTCTCCCGTAAGTGAACTACCAATTGATGACAAAACTGTACATATTAAACATATTGAATCTGATGAATCCAAAAAAGAGCAACCCACTACGGATGCAACTGACATAATGCTATCTGAAAAAAGTGCGCCACCACAGAAAGAACCTAAAGATGTTGCAAAGGACAAAATGACTCCGGTCAAAGATGTTCTACCACAGAAAAAAGCTAAAGATGATACAGCGCATAAAGATGATCATGAAACATGTGTGCCAATTCCTGTTGATTCTGAAAAACTTAATGAAACCGTTGACAAAGATTCACTAGAAAAGAAACCAGATCATACTGAGACTGACCAAATGTCGCCCCTAAGTGAACTTCCAATTGACGATCGAACTGCACAAATTGAACAAATTGAACTTCATAAATACACAACGGAGCAACCCTCTACTGAGCATTCACCACAGATAAGAACTATAGATGTTGAAAGCGACAAAATGGCTCCAGTAAAAGATGTTCCACCACCGAAGAAACATGAAGATATTGCAATGGAAAATGAAAAAGATGTTCCACCGCAGGAAAAAGCTAAATATGATGCAACGTATAAAGAGGCTCTTGTAACAAGTGTTACAATCCCTGCTGATTCTCAAAAATTTATTAAAATCGTTGGATTAGATTCACTAGAGAGGAAACTTGATAATACTGTAAGTGACAAAACGTCTCCCGTAAGTGAACCTCCAGATGATGACGAAACTGTACACAGTAAACATATTAAACTTGAAAAATCCACAATAGAGCAACCCACACCCAAGCATTCACCACAGATAAACGAAAATAATGATGCAACTGATGTAACAGCACCTGTAAAAAGTGTGCCAGCACAAAAAGAACATAAAGAGATTACAACGAATAAAACGGCTCCAGTAAAAGATGTTCTACCAAGAAAAGAAACTAAAGATGTTTCAAGAGACAAAGTAGCTCGTTTAACAAGTGTGCCGACCACTGTTAATTCTGAAAAGCTTGATAAAACTGTTGAAAAAGATTTACTAGTAAGGGCACCTGATGATACAGAAACTTACCAAATGTCTCCCGAAAGTGAACTTCTTATTGATGACAAAACTAAACATTTTAAACTTGATGTGAGACATAAGATAATTGATGATATTAATTTTGTAGAAGTCGTACCTGAGGTAAAGCATGAAGATTCAATTGAAACTATAATATACAATAATGACATTTCATTCGAATCATCAAATGAAAACATAATTAATAAAGATTTATTTTCTCAAAGTTTGTCCTTGACTTTTGATAATAAATTGATAAGCGAAAATTGTGAAACAAGATCGTTCCACGATAGAACTGGCAATGATTATTGTGAAAAAACAAATGATTCTGAAGCATTTAACGAGAACAAATCTGTAGCAAAGTCTATTATTCGACCAACTAAATTTATAGATGATTTACATAGTAAAACCTTGAGTAAAAAAAGATATACGGTTCTCCAAGGTGATATATTAATGAGCGATGATCACATTGAAATAACAGTACGTGATTTACCTCCTGATAAATCGAGAATAAAAGAAGAAAAATCTAAACCTTTTGAAAATCAAATAATTAAATCTCACACAAAAACACGTGAAAGTGCAAATAAAGAAACTAAGCCAAAATCTAAAGCAACTATTAGAAATAACGATACAAAAAAAATAGAAACAAAGAAAATTGACAAAACTGTGCCTGAGAGCCGTTTGCATGGGTACATGCAATCAACTTTGTCTAGAGATTTAAAAATTGAAAAAGTAGAAACAATAAATAAGTCCAGCAAGGTAAAACAAACGGATAAAAATAAAAAACAGGTAAGCAACATAAAAGTAATCAATAATACAAACATTGGTCAAAAATCTTCAACTTCAAAAGATGTGATAAAATTACATTCAAGAATTCCACGAGATGATCCGATTACGAAAAATGATAAATTAGAAAAAAAAATTAAGAAGGAATTGCATCCAAAAATGTCTAAAATTAATATTGAATCGCAAACATATAGTTCTAAGCCTGAGCGTATTCAGAAAGATTCTACTACAAAACCATCTTCCCCATTCACAAAACAATCTACCACAAAAACTAATGAGAAATTTGTGAAAAATTTGCTTAATTCGAAACAAGAATTGAAACTTGATCACACTACAAAACCAACTAAAACTAAAGTAACTGGTAAAAAAATACAGAAAGAGATCGCACAGAGTTATCAAAAACATCGTCCTTCTAACGAAAATTTTGACAGAATCAGAAGCCAGTCGGCTGTACCTATGACGTATGATGAATCTATGCAGCATTCGCATAAGAATAGATACAATAATAAGCCCATATCATTACCAGCAAGTCCGAATCGCTTAGGGCTAAGTTCAACAATGACAAAAGTAATCACAAGTGAAGTTTTTACTAGAACAGGTGATTCAAATGGTTCTATAGAAGTTATTTATAAACAACCCTGTGATAGTCATAAAAAATGTCAAATTTCAAAACCGAACGATATAGAAGTGAGTATGATAGATACTACAGATTCCAGTTTATCGGATTCTATTGCTCTTCCTTCTTCTTTATCAGATCATGATGTAAGTTTGGATTCTAACATGCGATCTAGAAGAAATTTTAGCCCTGTTTCACCAAAACCAACTAAAAGGGCTCTTGAATTAATATACGAAACTAAGTCACATGTTTCTGAAGAAAATTTAAATCATTTAAATTCTCCAGAAGATATTGCAAGTAATGCAATCACTTTGAACAGCAGAGAAACAGAATCAATAAATTTAAACCAAACTGAAATATTGCCTAAAAAAGGATGTTGCACCACTTCAATAAAGAACGGTGAAGACAATATAACTATATCAAAAACAAACGATTCTCTGCATGTAAGAGAAGACAGAATCTCGCCTATCTTGGATGTGAAAGCAATTACACCTCCTCGATTAAAATATAAGTTTCAATATAAAAGTTCAATAATAGAAGGTCTCGATGAAAATATAGCAGGTAATGTGAGTCATTTCTCACTACAGACCATGTCTAGCATGGCTTCAACTGTAGATAAATGTCTTGATTCAGTATCGGATAACAATCCAAAATAATCAGGAACAAATAAATATGACCTATGCCTCCTTTAAAATTATTATAAACACTTTTATTATTATTTAGTTTAAATAATACTCTAAATTTAGAAAGACACTATAACTGCCATAGGATAATAAATGTTATGGTAAGTATAAGCATGATTTTTCGTTAAGTCATAATAGAATGATAATATTATATAAGTAGTTGTGTTATATATATACATACATATATTATATATATATATATATATATATATATATATATATATATGATTGATTTCTTGGAGGGTGTAACATCAAGTAAAAAAAGAGTAAAGTAAAGATTTTTTTCAAAACATCTTTATTTTTCCATACGTTTCGACGTAAAATTCTACTAATAATATAACGATATAACGAATAATATTCTGTTTGGCACTGGCCTCGGATGCAAGTGTATTACGTATAATATTTTATTTATTAATCACTTTTTATCTTTTATTCTTTTTATTAAAAAAAAAGAAATTACTGACAGTTAGTGCTTGTCTATAATTATTAATTTTTACAAGTTATATTAATATGTGCTAGTGATAATATAAATAATTCAAAACCACTGAAGATGACATAGAATTTTACGTCGAAACGTATGGAAAAATAAAGATGTTTTGAAAAAAATCTTTACTTTACTCTTTTTTTACTTGATGTTACGCCCTCCAAGAAATCAATCATACATTTCAACATCAAATTTAAACATTTTCAACATATATATATATATATATATATATATATATCGAATGTAGTCTTAATAAAAAAATATTTATTACAGAGTGGGCGAAACCAACGGAACAAGAATTAAAAGGTGATGCGGATTCAAAACGAGGTAAGTTTCATGTTTAGCAAAATAATTTTATATAAAATTATACTTTCTTCATGATACTATTAAATTTATTCATTATTCAACATACCTTTATTATAAGAAATTTTTATTTGAGATAGTATCATAAAGATAGATTTATATGATAATTCATTCCCATAAACAATTTGACATTAAAATTTATTCAAAAGGCATTCTGAAATTAATGCCCAATTCTTTTGAGATACAAAAATGTCTCGTTATAAGCCAGGCAATGCTATGGGTGTGTGTATGTATTATGATATTTTTATATTTTTATTACTAAGTGTTTATTTTTGTGATTAATAAGTTCAGCACTTTTTTATTTGCGGTGCACGTTATTTAGTTTTTCTATGCTAGATTATTTAGCATGTGTAGATTTATGCATTTTAAGACACTTTACAACAATCGCATTATTTTAATACAAAATTTATTCAAAATGCAGTAACTTTGAAGCTTAAATGCGTTCAATAGCGCGCATTTTAAACTGCTTTCGATTTTTAATATGGAAATTTGCCGAGAGCTTACATATTTCCTGGTTTGTAACGACGGTTTCTTACATGTCGGACTCATCACTCATGCTCATAATATAGAAATCATAGAATACCTTGCTATATTTTGAACCAAGTAGTAAACAAAAGTGAAAGATGGAATAATAATAATAACTTTCACTTCATTAGCAAAATTATAGTGCCTTAGCTATTTTCATTTTTGATAAGTTTAGTAAAATAAAGTGTGTGTTAGAAACCCATTTACACATAATCATATATTTGCATTTTTGTAACGATCGGGAGTTACATAAAGTCAAAAATGAAGCGAAGGAGAAAAAACACTAAATAATCACATCATTCATACACTAGGCGCCTCTTTATAAAATCAGTATATGCAAGAATATCAGAATATCAGTAAAAGTCAAAAATGTCTTCTGAAATTATTTATTTTACCACTTACATATATACTTCAGATGCTACATCAAATTTGGATTCGTTCGTTTAAAACAATGTTATATATTGTGATAAGTTTATTGATTCGTACAAAATAAAAAAATGATATTATATTTTTTTCAGTTTATGTACCTAAAAAATGCACATACATAGTTTTTGCTTTTAGCTAGAATAACTATTTCATCATACATACTTCAATCCAGATCAATGTTTTAATTGTTTGGATTCAGCCAATAAATGTTTGTAAATGTCTAATATAGAAATGTTTTAAATGATGACAGGTTATATGTTTATTATTCTACTGATTGTCAGTGATGGTCTCTCCGGTCTCTACGTAAACCGCAATCAATGGATCAATCTATATGTTACTAGATAACGAGTATGTTATATGTTATTAATAATTTTAGTCTTTTTTACTTATACGAATCAATAAACATTAAACATATATATATATATATATATATATATATATATATATATATATTAATTTATATATTTATGAGGGTATTTGACGCATTGAAAAACAAAACGTTAAACAGTGATAGCAAGGCATTGTATGATTTATATGTACCTCGTTGTAAAGGTCTTTATCGGAAATAGTGCATGTTATTTCAGGAGTAGCAACTGCGAAGCATAAAGATTATTCAACAGTAATTGGTAAAAACGATCCCCGCAGTACAGAGCATACACAAAAGGATATTCTCGATACTACAGCTCTTTTTATTGCGCAAGAAGCCATACCTGAACCATATTACAAATCCTCAACATTCGATTCTAAGTTTCAATATGTAGATCCAAAAGATAAGGCTAGTAAAGATAAAGACAATCAAGACGTCAAGGAATCACGAAAAGAAAAAAATAAGCAGGGAAAAGGATTTCTTGGTACTATCAAGTCATTTGTCGGAAAATCATTTGAGAATGCCGATGAATCCGATCACAGCGACAAATCGCCAAAACGAGAACATAAAATAAAAAAAGGAAAAGCATCGAGTGATTTAAATAACACGGAACAAAACACAGAACTCGTTGTATCTAGAGATACAACAGAAATTTCAAAACACCAGTCACAAGATGTGACTAATAATTTACAACCTGAAGAAAATTTAACTAAAGTGGATATTAAGACTATAACGCATGATTTACTTAATAATGAACAATCCTTCGATGGCTGGTCAACGCCTTATGCTTCATACAAAAAAGAATATGAAACGCGAAATGATGGCAATAATATCATTGTAACTTCTCCTAAACGAAAAGCGGATGATCAACAGTCAAAGACGAAATTTTTTGGCATATTTGGTAAAAAGTCGTCAAAGGACTCCGATATTTCCGAAGATGAAAGCAAATCTTCCAAAGAATCACGAAAAATAAAGAAAAGTAAAAAAGGAAAGATAGACGAAACACTAAGGAAAACAAAAGAGAATGCCAAAGAATCAACAGACCCTACCGAAGGCAGAAAAGGATTTATTGAAAAATTGAGAGAATCATCAGAAAAAACAGTTGAAAAGGTAAAAGACACAGCCGATAGCACGTTAGAAAGCACAAAAGGGCATGTTATAGATGCCAAAGATAAAACAAAAGAAGTTGCTGAAGATGCAGCAGACAAGACCAAAGGATTCTTTGGAAAGTTAAAAGGATCAGCAGAAAAGGCAGTTGATAGAGTGAAAGATGCAGCAGATGACACGTTAGAAAGCACAAAAGAGCATGTCATAGATGCAAAAGATAAAACAAAGGAAGTTACAGAAGATGCAGCAGACAAGACCAAAGGATTCTTTGGAAAGTTAAAAACATCAACAGAAAAAGCAGTTGATAAAGTAAAAGATAAAGCAGATGACGCTTTAGAGAACACAAAAGAGCATGCTAAAGACGTTAAAGACAAAACAAAAGAAGTGGCTGAGGGTGCAGCTGACAACACTAAAGGATTCTTTGGAAAGTTAAAAGGATCAACAGAAAAGGCAGTTGATAAAGTGAAAAACGCAGCAGATGACACGTTAGAAAGCACAAAAGATCATGTTATAGATGCCAAAGATGAAACAAAAGAAGTTGCAGAAGATGCAGCAGACAAAACCAAAGGATTCTTTGGAAAGTTAAAAGAATCAACTGAAAAGGCAGTTGATAAAGTGAAAGATAAAGCAGATGACACATTAGAGAGCACAAAAAAGCATGCTAAAGACGCAAAAACCAAAACAAAAGAAGTGGCTGAAGATGCAGCAGACAACACTAAAGGATTCTTTGGAAAGGTAAAAGGATCAACAGTAAAGGCAGTTGATAAAGTGAAAAACGCCGCAGATGACACGTTAGAAAGCACAAAAGAGCATGTCATAGATGCCAAAGATAAAACAAAAGAAGTTGCAGAAGATGCAACAGACAAGACCAAAGGATTCTTTGGAAAGATCAAAGGATCAACAGAAAAGGCAGTAGATAAAGTGAAAAATAAAGCAGATGACGCTTTAGAAAGCACAAAAGAGCGTGCTAAAGATGTTAAAGATAAAACAAAAGAAGTTGCTGACGATGCAGCAGACAAAACTAAAGGATTCTTTGGGAACTTAAAAGAATCAACAGAAAAAGCAGTTGATAAAGTAAAAGACGCAGCAGGTGACACATTAGAAAGCACAAAAGAGCACGCTAAAGATGTCAAAGATAAATCGAAAGAAGTTGCTGAAGATGCAGCTGACAGGACTAAAGGATTCTTTGGAAAGTTAAAGGGATCAACAGAAAAAGCAGTTGATAAAGTAAAAGACGCAGCAGATGACACGCTAGCGAGCACAAAAGAGCATGCTAAAGATGTTAAAGACAACACAAAAGAAGTTGCTGAAGAGGCAGCAGACAAAACTAAAGGATTCTTTGGAAAGTTGAAAGTGTCAACAGGAAAAGCGGTTGACAAGATGAAAGACGCAACAGATGATACGATAGAAAGCACAAAAGAACATGCTAAAGACGTTAAAGATAAAACAAGAGAAGTTGCTGAAGATGCAGCAGACAAAACTAAAGGATTCTTTGGAAAGTTAAAAGGATCAACAGAAAAAGCAGTTAATAAAGTAAAAGACGCAGCAGATGACACATTAGAAAGTACAAAAGAGCACGCTAAAGATGTCAAAGATAAATCTAGAGAAGTTGCTGAAGATGCAACAGACAAAACTAAAGGATTCTTCGGAAAGTTGAAGGGATCGACAGAAAAAGCCGTTGATAAGGTGAAAGACGCAGCAGATGACACGGTAGACAGCACAAAAGAGCATGCTAGAGATGTCAAAGTCAAAACAAATGAAGTTGCTGAAGATGCAGCAGAAAAAACTAAAGGATTCTTTGGAAAGTTGATGGGATCAACAGAAAAGGCCGTTGATAAGGCTAAAGATGCAGCAGATGACACATTAGAAAGCACAAAGGAACACGCTAAAGGTGTCAAAGATAAATCTAGAGAAGTTGCTGAAGATGCAGCAGACAAAACAAGAGGATTCTTCGGAAAGTTGAAGGGGTCGACCGAAAAAACTGTTGATAAGATGAAAGACGCAGCAGATGACACACTAGAGAGCACAAAGGAGCACGCTAAAGATGTTAAAGACAAAACTAAAGAAGTTGCTGCAGATGCAGCAGACAAAACAAAAGGATTCTTTGGAAAATTGAAGGGATCAACAGAAAAAGCCGTTGATAAGGCCAAAGATGCAGCTGATGACACATTAGAAAGCACAAAAGAGCACGCTAAAGACGTTAAAGAAAAAACTAAAGAAGTTGCTGCAGATGCAACAGACAAAACAAAGGGATTCTTTGGAAAATTGAAGGAATCAACAGGAAAAGCCGTTGATAAGGTAAAAGACGCAGCAGGTGACACGGTAGAGAGCACAAAAGAGCATGCTAGAGATGTTAAAGACAAAACAAATGAAGTTTCTGAAGATGCAGCAGAAAAAACTAAAGGATTCTTTGGAAAGTTGAAGGGATCAACACAAAAAGCCGTTGATGAGGCTAAAGATGCAGCAGATGACACACTAGAAAGCACAAAAGAGCACGTTAAAGCTGTCAAAGATAAATCTAGCGAAGTTGCTGAAGATGCAACAGACAAAACAAAAGAATTCTTCGGAAAGTTGAAGGGGTCGACCGAAAAAACTGTTGATAATGTGAAAGACGAAGCAGATGATACACTAGAGAGCACAAAGGAGCACGCTAAAGATGTTAAAGACAAAACTAAAGAAGTTGCTGCAGATGCAGCAGACAAAGCAAAAGGATTCTTGGGAAAATTGAAGGGATCAACAGAAAAAGCTGTTGATAAGGTAAAAGACGCAGCAGATGACACTGTAGAGAGCACAAAAGAGCATGTTAGAGAAAAAACAAATGAAGTTGCTGAAGATGCCGCAGAAAAAACTAATGGATACTTTGGAAAGTTGAAGGAATCAACAGAAAAAGCCGTTGATAAGGCTAAAGATGCAGCTGATGATACATTAGAAAGCACAAAAGAACACGCTAAAGCTGTCAAAGATAAAACTAGCGAAGTTGCTGAAGATGCAGCAGACAAAACAAAAGAATTCTTCGGAAAGTTGAAGGGGTCGACCGACAAAACTGTTGATAAGGTGAAAGACGCAGCAAATGACACACTAGAGAGCACAAAGGAGCACGCTAAAGATGTTAAAGACAAAACTAAAGAAGTTGCTGCAGATGCAACAGAAAAAACAAAAGGATTCTTTGGAAAATTGAAGGGATCAACAGAAAAGGCCGTTGATAAAGTAAAAGACGCAACAGATAATACGCTAGAAAGCACAAAAGAGCATGCTAAAGATGTTAAAGATAAATCTAGAGAAGTTGCTGAAGATGCAGCAGACAAAACTAAAGGATTCTTTGGAAAGTTAAAAGGATCAACAGAAAAAGCCGTTAATAAGGCTAAAGACGCAGCAGATGATACGCTAGAGAGCACAAGAGAGCATGCTAAAGATGTTAAAGATAAAACGAACGAAGCTGCTGAAGATGCAGCAGACAAAACAAAACGATTCTTCGGAAAGTTAAAGGGATCAACAGAAAAAGCCGTTGATAAAGCTAAAGATGCAGCAGATGACACATTAGAAAGCACAAAAGAGCATGCTAAAGATGTTAAAGAAAAAACTAAAAAAGTTGCTGGAGATGCAGCAGGCAAAACAAAAGGATTCTTTGGAAAATTAAAGGGATCAACAGAAAAGGCGGTTGATAAGGTTAAATATGCAGCAGATGACACTTTAGAGAGCACAAAAGAGCACGCTAAAGATGCTAAAGAAAAAACGAAAGAAGTTGCTGAAAATGCAGCAGACAAAACAAAAGGATTCTTTGGACAGTTAAAGGCATCAACAGAAAAAACCGTTGATAAGGTGAAAGACGCAACAGATGATACGCTAGAGAGCACAAAAGAGCACGCTAAAGATGCTAAAGACAAAACTAAAGAAGTTGCGGAAGATATAAGGCGAAAGATGCGGCAGATGACACATTAGAGAGCACAAAAGAGCATGCTAAAGATGTTAAAGACAAATCAAAAGAAATTGCTGAAGATGCAGCAGAAAAAACTAGAGGATTCTTTGGAAAGTTGAAGGGATCAACAGAAAAAGCTGTTGATAAAGTGAAAGACGTAGCAGATGACACGTTAGAAAGCACAAAAGAGCATGCTAAAGATGCCAAAGATAAAACGAAGGAAGTTGCCGAAGATGCAGCGGACAAAACGAAAGGATTCTTTGGAAAGCTGAAAGGAGCAACAAAAAAATCCGGTGATAAAGTAAAAGATGCAGCAGATGATTCTTTAGAGGGCACAAAAGAGCACGCTTCCGAAGTAAAAGATAAAACTAAAGAAGTTGCTGAAGATGCTGCAGAAAAAACTAAAGGATTCTTTGGCAAGTTGAGAGGATCGACAGAAAAAGCCGTAAGTAGGGTAAAAGATACTGCAGGTGACACGCTAGACAGCACAAAAGAGCATGCTAAAGATGTTAAAGAAAAAACAAAAGAAGTCGCAGAAGATGCAGCAGATAAAACTAAAGGATTATTTGGAAAGTTAAAGGGATCAACAGAAAAAGCCATTGATGAGGCTAAAGATGCAGCTGATGATACATTAGAAAGCACAAAAGAAGACGCTAAAGCTGTCAAAGATAAAACTAGCGAAGTTGCTGAAGATGCAGCAGACAAAACAAAAGAATTCTTCGGAAAGTTGAAGGTGTCGACCGAAAAAACTGTTGATAAAGTGAAAGACGCAGCAGATGACACACTAGAGAACACAAAGGAGCACGCTAAAGATGTTAAAGACAAAACTAAAGACGTTGCTGCAGATGCAACAGAAAAAACAAAAGGATTCTTTGGAAAATTGAAGGGATCAACAGAAAAGGCAGTTGATAAAGTGAAAGACGCAGCCGATAATACGCTAGAGAGCACAAAAGAGCATGCTAAAGATGTTAAAGATAAAACAAAAGAAGTCGCAGAAGATGCAGCAGATAAAACTAAAGGATTCTTTGGAAAGTTAAAGGGATCAACAGAAAAAGCCGTTGATAAGGCTAAAGATGCAGCAGATGATACTTTAGAGAGCACAAAAGAGCATGCTAAAGATGTTAAAGATAAAACGAAAGAAGCTGCTGAAGATGCAGCAGACAAAACAAAAGGATTCTTTGGAAAATTGAAGGGATCGACAGAAAAAGTCGTTGATAAGGTAAAAGACGCAGCAGATGATACGCTAGAGAGCACAAAAGAGCATGCTAAAGATGTTAAAGATAAAACGAAAGAAGTTGCAGAAGATACAGCAGGCAAAACTAAAGGATTCTTTGGCAAATTAAAGGGGTCAACAGAAAAGGCTGTTGAAGAGGTGAAAGACGCAGCAGATGACACGTTTGGAGAAACGACGAAGGAACATGCTAAGGATGTTAAAGATAAAACAAAAGAAGTCGCAGAAGATGCAGCAGACAAAACTAAAGGATTCTTTGGGAAGTTAAAGGGATCAACAGAAAAGGCATTTGATAAAGTGAAAGACGCAGCAGACGATACTTTGGAGAGCACAAAAGACCACTCTAAAGACGTCAAGGATAAAACGAAAGAAGTTGCTGAAGTTGTAGAAGAAAAAACTAAAGGATTCTTTGGAAAATTGAAGGCTTCAACACAGAAATCTGTTGATAAGGTAAAAGATGCAGCAGATGACTCATTAGAGAGTACGAGAGAACATGTTAAAGATGTAAAAGATAAAACGAAAGAAGTTGCTGAAGATGCATCAGACAAAACTAGAGGATTCTTTGGAAAGTTGAAAGGATCAGCACAAAAATCCGTTGATAAGGTCAAAGATGCAGCAGATGATAAGTTAGAGATTACAAAAGAGCACGCCACAGATGTCAAAGATAAAACGAAAGAAGTTGCTGAAAACGCAGCAGACAAATCTAAAGGATTCTTTGGCAAATTAAGAGGATCAACAGAAAAAACAGTTAGCAAAGTGAAAGACACGGCGGATGACACATTAGATAGCACAAAAGGGCATGCTAAACATGTCAAAGATAAAACAAAAGAAGTTGCAGAAAATGCAGCAGACAAAACCAAAGGATTTTTTGGAAAATTAAAAGAATCGGCAGGAGAAGCAGTTGATAACGTAAAAGACGCTGCAGATAGCACATTAGTGACTACCAAAGATCATGCTAAAGATGTCAAAGATAAAACGAAAAAAGTTTCTGAAGATGCAGTAGAAAAATCTGAAGAATTCTTTGGACAACTTAAAGAATCAACTGAAAAAGCAGTTGATCAAGCAAAAGACGCAGCAAACGATACGTTAGAGAGCACAAAAGAGCACACTAAAGATGTCAAAGATAAAACAAAAGAAGCTGCTGAAGATGCAGCAGACAAAACTAAAGGATTCTTTGGCAAGTTGAAGGGATCAACAGAGAAAGTTGTAGATAAAGTAAAAGACGCAGATGATGATACGTTAGAGAGCGCAGGAGAGCATGCTAGAGATGTCAAAGATATAACGAAAGAAGTTGCAGAAGATGCAGCAGGCAAAACTAAAGGATTCTTTGGCAAGTTGAAGGGATCAACAGAGAAAGCTGTTGATAAAGTAAAAGACGCAGCAGATGATACGGTAGAGAGTACAAAAGAGCATGCTCAAGATATCAAAGATAAAACGAAAGAGATTGCTGAAGATGCAGCAGGCAAAACTAAAGGTTTCTTTGGAAAATTGAAGGGATCAACAGAAAAGGCCGTTGATAAGGTGAAAGACGCTGCAGACGACACGATTGAAACCACGAAGGAGCATGCTAAGGAAGTCAAAGATAAAACGAAAGAAGTCGCTGAAGATGCAGCAGACAAAACTAAAGGATTCTTTGGCAAGTTGAAAGGATCAAGAGAGAAAGCTGTTGATAAAGTAAAAGACGCAGCAGATGATACGGTAGAGAGCACAAAAGAGCATGCTCAAGATATCAAAGATAAAACGAAAGAAATTGCTGAAGATGCAGCAGGCAAAACTAAGGGTTTCTTTGGAAAATTGAAGGGATCAACAGAGAAAGCTGTTGATAAAGTAAAAGACGCAGCAGATGATACGTTAGAGAGCACAAAAGAGCATGTTCAAGATATCAATGATAAATCAAAAGAAATTGCTGAAGATGCAGCAGGCACAACTAAAGGTTTCTTTGGAAAGTTAAAGGGATCAACAGAAAAAGTTGTTGATAAAGTAAAAGACGCAACAGATGATACGTTAGAGAGCGCAGGAGAGCATGCTAGAGATGTCAAAGATAAAACGAAAGAAGTTGCAGAAGATGCAGCAGGCAAAACTAAAGGATTCTTTGGTAAATTGAAGGGATCAACAGAAAAGGCCGTTGATAAGGTTGCTCAAGATATCAAAGATAAAAACGAAAAGGATTGCTGAAGATGAAGCAGGCAAAACTAAAGGTTTCTTTGGAAAATTGAAGGGATCAACAGAAAAGGCCGTTGATAAGGTGAAAGACGCTGCAGACGACACGATTGAAACCACGAAGGAGCATGCTAAGGAAGTCAAAGATAAAACGAAAGAAGTCGCTGAAGATGCAGCAGACAAAACTAAAGGATTCTTTGGCAAGTTGAAAGGATCAAGAGAGAAAGCTGTTGATAAAGTAAAAGACGCAGCAGATGATACGGTAGAGAGCACAAAAGAGCATGCTCAAGATATCAAAGATAAAACGAAAGAAATTGCTGAAGATGCAGCAGGCAAAACTAAGGGTTTCTTTGGAAAATTGAAGGGATCAACAGAGAAAAGCTGTTGATAAAGTAAAAGACGCAGCAGATGATACGTTAGAGAGCACAAAAAGACGCAGCAGATGATACGTTAGAGAGCACAAAAGAGCATGTTCAAGATATGCATGTTCAAGATATCAATGATAAATCAAAAGAAATTGCTGAAGATGCCGCAGGCACAACTAAAGGTTTCTTTGGAAGTTAAAGGGATCAAACAGAAAAAAGTTGTTGATAAAGTAAAAGACGCAACAGATGATACGTTAGAGAGCGCAGGAGAGCATGCTAAGAGATGTCAAAGATAAAACGAAAGAAGTTGCAGAAGATGCAGCAGCAAACTAAAGGATTCTTTGGTAAATTGAAGGGATCAACAGAAAAAAGGCCGTTGATAAGGTGAAAGACGCTGCAGATGACACGATTGAAACCACGAAGGAGCATGCTAAGGATCAAAGATAAGATGACACGATTGAAACCACGAAGGAGCATGCTAAAGAAGTCAAAGATAAAACGAAAGAAGTCGCTGAAGATGCAGCAGACAAAACTAAAGGATTCTTTGGCAAGTTGAAGGGATCAACAGAAAAACTGGTGATAAAGTAAAAGACGCAGCAGATGATACGGTAGGTAGAGAGCACAAAAGAGCATGCTCAAGATATCAAAGATAAAACGAAAGAAGTTGCAGAAGACGCAGCAGGCAAAACTAAAGGATTCTTTGGCAAATTGAAGGGATCAACAGAAAAGGCCGTTGATAAGGTGAAAGACGCTGCTGATGACACGATTGAAACCACGAAGGAACATGCTAAAGAAGTCAAAGATAAAACGAAAGAAGTAGCTGAAGATGCCGCAGACAAAACTAAAGGATTCTTTGGCAAGTTGAAGGGATCAACAGAAAAAGCTGTTGATAAAGTAAAAGACGCAGCAGATGATACGGTAGAGAGCACAAAAGAGCATGCTCAAGATATCAAAGATAAAACGAAAGAAGTTGCAGAAGATGCAGCAGGCAAAACTAAAGGATTCTTTGGCAAATTGAAGGGATCAACAGAAAAGGCCGTTGATAAGGTGAAAGACGCTGCTGATGACACGATTGAAACCACGAAGGAACATGCTAAAGAAGTCAAAGATAAAACGAAAGAAGTCGCTGAAGATGCAGCAGACAAAACTAAAGGATTCTTTGGCAAGTTGAAGGGATCAACAGGAAAAGCTGTTGATAAAGTGAAAGACGCAGCAGATGATACGGTAGAGAGCACAAAAGAGCATGCTCAAGATATCAAAGATAAAACGAAAGAAGTTGCAGAAGATGCAGCAGGCAAAACTAAAGGATTCTTTGGTAAATTGAAGGGATCAACAGAAAAGGCCGTTGATAAGGTGAAAGACGCTGCAGATGACACGATTGAAACCACGAAGGAGCATGCTAAGGAAGTCAAAGATAGAACGAAAGAAGTCGCTGAAGATGCAGCAGACAAAACTAAAGGATTCTTTGGCAAACTGAAGGGATCAACAGAAAAAGCTGGTGATAAAATAAAAGATGCAGCACATGATTCGGTAGAGAGCACAAAAGAGCATGCTCAAGATATCAAAGATAAAACGAAAGAAATTGCTGAAGATGCAGCAGGTACAACTAAAGGTTTCTTTGGTAAATTGAAGGGATCAACAGAAAATGCCGTTGATAAGGTGAAAGACGCTGATGATGACACGATTGAAACCACGAAGGAACATGCTAAAGAAGTCAAAGATAAAACAAAAGAAGTAGCTGAAGATGCCGCGGACAAAACTAAAGGATTCTTTGGCAAGTTGAAGGGATCAACAGAAAAAGCTGTTGATAAAGTAAAAGAAGCAGCAGATGATACGGTAGAGAGCACAAAAGAGCATGCTCAAGATATCAAAGATAAAACGAAAGAAGTCGCTGAAGATGCAGCAAGCAAAACTAAAGGATTCTTTGGCAAATTGAAGGGATCAACAGAAAAGGCCGTTGATAAGGTGAAAGACGCTGCTGATGATTCGATTGAAACCACGAAGGAACATGCTAAAGAAGTCAAAGATAAAACGAAAGAAGTCGCTGAAGATGCAGCAGACAAAACTAAAGGATTCTTTGGCAAGTTGAAGGGATCAACAGAAAAAGCTGTGGATAAAGTAAAAGACGCAGCAGATGATACGGTAGAGAGCACAAAAGAGCATGCTCAAGATATCAAAGATAAAACGAAAGAAGTCGCTGAAGATGCAGCAGGCAAAACTAAAGGATTCTTTGGCAAATTGAAGGGATCAACAGAAAAGGCCGTTGATAAGGTGAAAGACGCTGCTGATGACACGATTGAAACCACGAAGGAACATGCTAACGAAGTCAAAGATAAAACGAAAGAAGCAGCTGAAGATGCCGCAGACAAAACTAAAGGATTCTTTGGCAAGTTGAAGGGATCAACAGAAAAAGCTGTTGATAAAGTAAAAGACGCAGCAGATGATACGGTAGAGAGCACAAAAGAGCATGCTCAAGATATCAAAGATAAAACGAAAGAAGTTGCAGAAGATGCAGCAGACAAAACTAAAGGATTCTTTGGTAAATTGAAGGGATCAACAGAAAAGGCCGTTGATAAGGTGAAAGACGCTGCAGATGACACGATTGAAACCACAAAGGAGCATGCTAAGGAAGTCAAAGATAAAACGAAAGAAGTCGCTGAAGATGCAGCAGACAAAACTAAAGGATTCTTTGGCAAGTTGAAGGGATCAACAGAAAAAGCTGGTGATAAAATAAAAGACGCAGCACATGATACGGTAGAGAGCACAAAAGAGCATGCTCAAGATATCAAAGATAAAACGAAAGAAATTGCTGAAGATGCAGCAGGTACAACTAAAGGTTTCTTTAGTAAATTGAAGGGATCAACAGAAAAGGCCGTTCATAAGGTGAAAGACGCTGCTGATGACACGATTGAAACCACGAAGGAACATGCTAAAGAAGTCAAAGATAAAACGAAAGAAGTAGCTGAAGATGCCGCAGACAAAACTAAAGGATTCTTTGGCAAGTTGAAGGGATCAACAGAAAAAGCTGTTGATAAAGTAAAAGACGCAACAGATGATACGGTAGAGAGCACAAAAGAGCATGCTCAAGATATCAAAGATAAAACGAAAGAAGTCGCTGAAGATGCAGCAGGCAAAACTAAAGGATTCTTTGGCAAATTGAAGGGATCAACAGAAAAGGCCGTTGATAAGGTGAAAGACGCTGCAGATGACACGATTGAAACCACGAAGGAGCATGCTAAGGAAGTCAAAGATAAAACGAAAGAAGTCGCTGAAGATGCAGCAGACAAAACTAAAGGATTCTTTGGCAAGTTGAAGGGATCAACAGAGAAAGCTGGTGATAAAATAAAAGACGCAGCACATGATACGGTAGAGAGCACAAAAGAGCATGCTCAAGATATCAAAGATAAAACGAAAGAAGTCGCTGAAGATGCAGCGGACAAAACTAAAGGATTCTTTGGGAAGTTGAAGGGATCAACAGAAAAGGCAGTCGATAAAGTAAAAGACACAGCAAACGATACGTTAGAGAGCACAAAAGAGCATGCTGTAGATGTTAAAGAAAAAACGAAAGAAATTGCTGAAGATGCAGCAGGCAAAACTAAAGGATTCTTTGGCAAGTTAAAGGGATCAACAGAAAAAGCTGTTGATAAAGTAAAAGACGCAGCAGATGATACGTTAGAGCGCGCTGAAGAACATGCTAGAGATGTCAAAGGTAAAACGAAAGAAGCTGCAGAAGATGCAGCAGGCAAAACTAAAGGATTCTTTGGCAATATAAAGGGATCGACAGAAAAGGCCGTTGACAAGGTAAAGGACGCTGCAGATGACACTATTGAGACCACGAAAGAGCATGCTAAGGATGTCAAAGATAAAACAAAAGAAGTCGCTGAAGATGCAGCAGACAAAACTAAAGGATTTTTCGGGAAGTTGAAGGGATCAACAGAAAAGGCAGTCGATAAAGTAAAAGACGCAGCAGACGATACGTTAGAGAGCACAAAGGAGCATGCTCAAGATATCAAATATAAAACAAAAGAAGTTGCTGAAGATGCAGCAGACAAAACTAAAGGATTCTTTGGCAAGTTGAAGGGATCAACAGAAAAAGCTGTTGATAAAGTAAAAGACGCAACAGATGATACGGTAGAGAGCACAAAAGAGCATGCTCAAGATATCAAAGATAAAACGAAAGAAGTCGCTGAAGATGCAGCAGGCAAAACTAAAGGATTCTTTGGCAAATTGAAGGGATCAACAGAAAAGGCCGTTGATAAGGTGAAAGACGCTGCAGATGACACGATTGAAACCACGAAGGAGCATGCTAAGGAAGTCAAAGATAAAACGAAAGAAGTCGCTGAAGATGCAGCAGACAAAACTAAAGGATTCTTTGGCAATTTGAAGGGATCAACAGAGAAAGCTGGTGATAAAATAAAAGACGCAGCACATGATACGGTAGAGAGCACAAAAGAGCATGCTCAAGATATCAAAGATAAAACGAAAGAAGTCGCTGAAGATGCAGCGGACAAAACTAAAGGATTCTTTGGGAAGTTGAAGGGATCAACAGAAAAGGCAGTCGATAAAGTAAAAGACACAGCAAACGATACGTTAGAGAGCACAAAAGAGCATGCTGTAGATGTTAAAGAAAAAACGAAAGAAATTGCTGAAGATGCAGCAGGCAAAACTAGAGGATTCTTTGGCAAGTTAAAGGGATCAACAGAAAAAGCTGTTGATAAAGTAAAAGACGCAGCAGATGATACGTTAGAGCGCGCTGAAGAACATGCTAGAGATGTCAAAGGTAAAACGAAAGAAGCTGCAGAAGATGCAGCAGGCAAAACTAAAGGATTCTTTGGCAATATAAAGGGATCGACAGAAAAGGCCGTTGACAAGGTAAAGGACGCTGCAGATGACACTATTGAGACCACGAAAGAGCATGCTAAGGATGTCAAAGATAAAACAAAAGAAGTCGCTGAAGATGCAGCAGACAAAACTAAAGGATTTTTCGGGAAGTTGAAGGGATCAACAGAAAAGGCAGTCGATAAAGTAAAAGACGCAGCAGACGATACGTTAGAGAGCACAAAGGAGCATGCTCAAGATATCAAATATAAAACAAAAGAAGTTGCTGAAGATGCAGCAGACAAAACTAAAGGATTCTTTGGCAAGTTGAAGGGATCAACAGAAGAAGCAGTTGATAAAGTTAAAGACGCAGCGGATGATACGATAGACAGCACCAGAAAGCATGCAAAAGATGTCAAAGATAAAACGAAAGAAGTGGCAGAAGATGCAGCAGGCAAAACTAAAGGATTTTTTGGCAAATTAAAGGGATCAACAGAAAAAGCCGTTCATAAGGTAAAAGATACTGCAGAAGACACGTTAGAAATCACGAAAGAGCATGCTAAAGATGTCAAAGATCAAACGAAAGAAGTTGCTGAAGATGCAGCAGAAAAAACTAAAGGATTCTTTGGAAAGTTGAAGGGATCAACAGAAAAAGCCATTGATAAGGTAAAAGACGCAGCAGATGACACGGTAGAGAGCACAAAAGAGCATGCTAAAGATGTCAAAGATAAATCTGGAGAAGTTGCTGAAGATGCAGCAGACAAAACAAAAGGATTCTTCGAAAAGTTAAAGGAGTCGACCGAAAAAACTGTTGATAAGATGAAAGACGCAGCAGATGACACACTAGAAAGCACAAAGGAGCACGCTAAAGATGTTAAAGACAAAACTAAAGAAGTTGCTGCAGATGCAGCAGACAAATCTAAAGGATTCTTTGGCAAGTTGAAGGGATCAACAGAAAAAGCGGTTGATAAGGCGAAAGATGCAGCAGATGATACGTTAGAGAGCACAAAAGAGCATGCTCATGATATCAAAGATAAAACAAAAGAAGTTGCTGAAGGCGCAGCGGACAAAACTAAAGGATTCTTTAGCAAGTTGAAAGGATCAACAGAAGAAGCAGTTGATAAAGTTAAAGACGCAGCGGATGATACGAAGGACAGCACAAAAGAGCATGCTAAAGATATCAAAAATAAAACGAAAGTAGTTGCCCAAGACGCAGCAGATAAAACTAAAGGATTCTTTGGAAAATTGAAAGGATCAACAGAAAAAGCCGTTGATAAAGTAAAAGACACAGCAGACGACATGTTAGAAAGTTCGAAAAAGCATGCTAAAGATGTCAAAGATAAGACGAAAGAAGTTAATGAAAATGCTGCAGCTAAAACTACAGGATTATTTGGAAAATTGAAGGGACCAGCCGCTGCGGACAACTCGATAGAAAAAACAAATTCTGAAAGTGTTCTTGTAAAGGATGGGAAAGAAAAAAATACTTTATTTACTAAATTAAGAAGATCACCATCAAAAACTTCCGACAATAGCAAACATATTATGGAAAGTAATAATATTCAAAAGGATAATGATATGCCGGAACACGATATTAAAAAGTTGACCGAGCAAATGATCACCAATGAACTAAACTTTCAAGGCTGGAGTGATTTGGAACAAAATATCCAACGCTCGGCGCCCAGTGTAATTTCTAATAAACACGAACCTGAACTAGTATCCCAAGATCAAAGAGTGAAATCAAAAATATTTGGATTATTTGGAAAAAAATCTTCTAAAGAATCACCTATTGTAGAACAAGTTTCAAGTGCTCAATTTGAAACAAAAGAAACAGCAAAAGACAAATCTGTGAATTTTATAGACCCAGATTTAAATAAATTTGATATTAAAGATCTGACAAATCAAATGATTTCTCAGGAATTGAATTTCAGAGGGTGGGAAACACCTTATGTACCCCAATCAGACTTAAAAACGAGTGTATCTTCGGTATCATCAGCGCAGCAAAGTTTGAAAGATTCATCGGAGAACGTACCAGATGTTGCAGACAGTTCAAATGCGACGTCTGACGGTTCTTTTAATAAGCTGAAGAAAACTACATCAAAAGTTAAAGATAAAGTGAAAGACACGGATTCAAGCACAAATATCATTGATAATTCGTACCAAGATAATGTAGACATAGAAGTACCAAATGTAAAAGTTGTCGAGGGAGAGCAACCGACTAGGTCTTCTGCTCTTATTACAATAATAGATAGCAGTAAGCCCGTTAGATCTCAAACAGAAGTTGTCACAAAGTACATAAATGTTACGCCTCATGATACGCCAGACTCTATTTCCGGGACTGTTTCAAATACATTCTTAAGTGAATGCAATATATTTGAAACAGATAGTAGAAAAATAGATAAAAGAGCAATATTTAGGCTTGAATCGGAAGAAATAAGTGATGCAAATAATTCTTCTAAGGACATTAAATGGCATGATGCAAAAAGTGAACCACACGCAATACAAGACTTAAATTTAAGCAATAGTCACAAGATTATAAAAAAAATAGAATTACAAGAATTGCCACAAACAACATTGAATAAAAATGTAAAAGACAACGTTCTTCTAATAGGAACCATTGGTTATATAACAGATTCTAATATAGAAACACTCGATGATGATGATGTTCGAGCAGAAAGTAGTAATGTAACAATGGATTCGCAGAAGCAGTTAAAACGAGTTGAACGCAGGTTTGAAAGAATGGCTTCTGAAACACTAGAAAAAGAATTACAAGAGCTAAAAATATTAAAAGACGAGAATATCAATATACCCGAACTTAAAAATAGAAAAGAGGTAGAATTTCAAACCTTAGTTTCTCAGCTGAGTGCTGATGAAATCTCTCAATTTCAACAAGACTACAAAGACATTAATTGGGAGGAATGCACTATAACAGAATCTTCCAGTGTTGACAATACCAGAACATCAGAATCTCCTGACAAAGACACAGATGGCTTTTCCCCAGGTATTTATTTCAAAGTCTTTAACAGCCTAAGAATCAATGCGCATGATACTATAGCAACTGCTTACACAACAAAACCATATCCGCCCAGTGAGTAAAACTATATATAAAATCACTGTATCATGTAAATGCATGTATGTTTTTCTGTCTATGGTCTTTTCTGTCTATACACTGTGTATGGTCCAAATATATATATATATATATATATATATATATATATATATGTATATATATATATATATATATATATTTATTTATTTATTTATTTATTTATCTAAATATATAAAGTTAAATTATCTTATATTAAATAATATATACTATCTTATTAAATATAAAGGTATATATTTAATTCTTCTAAATATGTGCATGTATTATGTTATGCTTATTTTTAAATCAAATCAACACACACCCGCTGGTCCTGCTTCTATTACAAATGCTAAATTACTTAACTTTTTATGGGTTCTTAACATTTTAATTTTGAATGCATTATAATATAAGCTAACATTACCACAACTCTATTTTAGAAAAAGCAAGAGGATTAATAAACGTTAATAACAAAACTAATCAACTAACATATTCTGGAATTCCTAAGCCTACAGCGAGGGTAACAAGATCGCATGCCAGCAACGAGTATATCATTTCATCAAATGATTCCCAAATCGATGATTTTTCTAAATCAACATATGAATCTAATGAGTCAGACTCCTCGTACCAATGTAAAAAAAGTTTTTGGGAAAATATATCGACTTCAAGCGAAATTACGGATGAACCCGTCCCACCTATTCCTAAACCCCGAACTTCGTTTGCCGCGCAAACACAAAATGACGAATGCAAGCCGGACGGTATGCTACCTGAAGAAACTAAAACATTACCAATTACAAGCACTTTAGATGCGCAATCAATAGATTCACGTTTCCAAGAAATTAATGGGGAGAAACAAGGGCTAAATCGATCCACTGTCGCTGAACCTATTTCAGAGTTCCAAATAAAAACTGAAGTTTTACCGAAAAATCTGGCACAAAAGTCAGCCACGTATGCACAAGAATGCGAATTTAAAGATGTGCAATCCTCTGATGGACACAAATCACTTATCACTAATGTTAATTTAGTTGATATTCAAAATTCACTCAATGAAGACGCAAAGTCAATAGATCGAGCACAATTCTATATTGGTGAATCAGACGACGAAATAATTGTAAACACAAAGTATGAAGAAATGGGATTTAGTTCAATATCAGAAATAAATGACCCGTCTTGCAATTTAAAGAAGAGTAAAATTGACGAACAAACATGCGATATACTAGAAGTTCACGTCGACAAAAGTGAGACAGAACATAGCGAAAAACTTTACGAAACCGACTGTAATTTTCCACATGAAGTCGCGTGTGATAAGGAAACTATGATTGGTGATATAAAAATTCTTTCTAAAAAAAATGAATCGGAAAACTACATTCAAGGTGAAAGTGATGACACACGATCTGAATCCGATGTCACACCTGATTCTGATCCAAATAACAAAATTCCAATAAGCACAGAAGAGGATTTAAAACAAGATGGGAATAGCAGCTATGAAATTGTTGATAAGTTAGTATTTAATGAAAATATTTCAAATAAACAGAGTAAAGAAATTAGCGATCAATTTCTTGCGGAGTCTTTTGAAGAAAATGAGGACGAGAACGAAGAAATGTCGAGAAACGAATTTGAAATTCACTTGCAAGAGCCTGAAGCAAGATCAATGGCAATTGAGCTAGTTGATTATATTAAAAATGAAGTTGATAATCGAGAACTTGTATCAGGCGCATTTACTGACATTGAAAAATCAGAAACTTCACAAGTATCAAATTATCTAAAAGAACTGGCGATTGAAAAAGGTCTCGACACACGCGAGATACAACTGATAGAATCAGTATTAGCTAGAAAAAATAAAGATTTAGGAAAAATAGTTCGGAATGATACCCAAACATCTAGTATGGAAATTACGGATGAAGATTTAAGAAGTAGTGGTGTCGAAACCGATTATTCTCCCACCGAATCTCAAGTTTTGTTAAATAATCAGCAAGCTAATTACTCTGCAGAAGTGGCAGATATAAGAGCAGTAGAAAAAACTCTCGCTGAAGTTAAAGAATCATTAGAAGCTGCTCAAGACGTATTAATTGAAGTATCAAAAGACGGTGGCTACGTAAAGAAGCAGTCTCCTTCAGAATTTGAGTTCAAAGTTTTGTCTCAAGGAAAAAAATTTGATGATGTGATTGAAGAATCTTACGAGGATAATCAGTTACAGTTAGAAAAGGAGTTATATTCGCCGAAAAAAGTTAGAATACCTAATGCGAATTCACAAGAGAAAACTACAGCAAACGTAACATACAAAAATCTGTCAAAGCAAATTATAAATACCTCAAACAATGTAGCACAGTATGATGATACAATTAATGAAGTACAATTAGGAAAAATTTTAGAAACCGATTTGCAGAATATGCTTGCTAAAGATAAAATTAGAAAAGAAAAAAATCAACTTGGTGAACAAAATATACCGATGCTGGGTCTTGATAATCAACTGCTTTGTACTAAACTGGATCAGCGTACTGAGGATGACCAAAGTCAAATATCAGAAATTGTGCTAAGAAAGAAAAGCATAGTTAAAGAGAAGTCGAGCCTTACTCCTAAATCCGATAAACGTTCTGGAGCGGAAACTGAAACTTGCTCCAGTTCTGGTGAGAGCCATTACAACAGCTTTGAACAAACGGACAGTTTGCGAAGTAGACCGTGCTCCTCTGATATTGATGGTTTAATGGTAGCAACAGGATCTTCGGAATATGAAAGTGCTCTGACTTCTCAAGAAGTATCATCAAAACCTATAGGATCGTCCGAATATCATACCGCTATAAACAGCCTGAGTTCTAGAGAAAGTATGAAAAGTTTAGATTCAGAAAGTTCTGGTAATATAGCCAGTTTAGAGGTCTCAGATGCGTCTGAAACTTTAGTACCAGCTGCTCAAGAATTAGAATTGGATATTTGTGAAGAAACGGATAAATCATTATCAGAATACCAAACAAATTTCCTTTTGGACGATAAAAATAAAATAGAATTGAAAAACGTTGAATCTACAGATGATCCAAGTGAAATATCTGATGATATTCCCAAACATGCCAATTTGCATATTGATGGTGATGTATTTATTGTAAAAAATAACCCTGAATCAGACTATAATAATATACCACACGGCATGAAACGATCTCAAGAAATGACATTTCAACCTGAACCAAAAACCATAAAATCAGATTCCCCACAATCTGAAGAAGTAATTGAAACAGCAACAGAATTCGATGATAAATATGCTTCAAGTTTAGATGAAGGAACTGCATTGAGCATGAGTCTTTCCAGTCTCTCTGAAACATCAGGATTGCGGACTGTTATTGACATGTATGAATCTGATATAGAACGGTCAAGTTTATCTTCTTCTATTCCTGTAGAAGATGTTTTATCTGATCAACAAGAAAAAATGTTTTCTATGCCCTCGTGGCAGAATTTGACAACGATTTCTGCTGATTATAAAGTTTCCGAAGTATCTGCTGAAAAAGAAACACAAAATACAGTAACAAGAGATATTACATGTACGAAAGTTAAAGGACATCGCAGAAATGATAGCTTATCTTCTTTTCATCCATCAAAAATTCCCATTAAACGAAATAAAATAGAGCAACCTAAAATTTTAGATGATGCAGTATCCGAGTCTATAGTTAACTTAACAGAAGTGGATGTAGCTGAGATGACTTCTGAAATCAATTGTCATGCCCATAGCGGTTATGCAACTACGCCCGAAAGAGTTTTCACCGAAGAAGCTGAAGCTGAGGCTGCGTTTCACATGGTACCACATATGTCACCTACCCATCAAACTAAAATTATTGATACTATAATAGAAGATACAGATGCGGAAAAAATTGAACTAGAAGTCGCAGCGAAACAAACAATAGATACAGTTTATTCTATTACTGGAAACGCCGGTGCTATTCCTGACATTACCGTAACAGAGCACATGACTCCATTAGCAAGTGCAATCTTTCAATATCCAGACAATATTAGTGAAAATAAACAGGTTCAAAAATCAACACCAGAAACACCAATATCGTTCTCTAGTAAAAGTTCCGAAGAGACCGATCACGGCCAAGAATATATTTTAGGGGATTGTGCAAGTGATGACAAAATACCTGATAAACCTTCAATTAAAAAGAAACGCATATCTCCAACGGATTCGCCAACAAGCGATTCATTTGAAATAATAGAGAAGCCTGATATAACTGATGATTTTGTTGTTATAGAAGAAGTTGCCAAGGAAGCACATGAATTTGATAGCGAAGGAAAAAGCTTAATCATAACACAAACTAAATTTATAAAAAAGCATGATACTGAATTAGAAGAATATATTGTTAAATCCGCACCAGAGCTGACTAATTCTTCAAACAGAAATCTGAAATCAAGTGATTATGATTTCGGTCCATTTGATTTTGAAGATAGCCCGCCTAACGCTGACAAAAAACATTCTGATCAAACTGATACCAAAAACAATGCATATATGCAAAGTGATTACGAAAAGGATGCAGACTTAAATAAGAAATGGGTTGAAACACAAATCAAAGGTGATCCTAATGCCAGCTCAAGTTATAGATACGATATTGAGTATGAGCATGGTCCATTGGAAGATATAAAAGAAGAAGAAATTCATGATTTTGATCAAGCTGCCAGTAGAATAGGTAGCATGGGATCGCAAAAAGAATCAGTTGGCAGTTTGAGTAAAGATTCTTATTCTAGTACACCTGAATATGACGTATTGGCTGGGAAGAAATTTTTTACAAGATCTGGAGATCATGATGATATCTCTATGAATAGTTTACAAGAATTTGAAAACTTGGAACAAGCAATATCACTTGAAAATAAAAAAATACATCATGGATCTCAAGATTCTTTGAGTAATGGCAGCTTTACTAGACGTTATTATTTAAGTCGAA